GTTATTCAAAGTGCGGATAACGCTATTCGCCCTTTGAACAACTGGGGCCAGATGAATAACTTACACGTTTCGTTTGATTCCATAACTTTTTAACAGAGTTCCTTGATTTATTATATTTCTCTTCTTTCAACGCCTGGTAAACCAAACACTGCCGTATACAGAATATTAGTCTCCGCAATCTTAGTTAGGATTATGAAGCGGAAGTTGAATGTTTTGCTGCAAGCGCCTCAGCAAGACTTTTGGAAGAGAACGTTTTTATTGGTGCAAATAAAAAGACCAGCTGTACTGACTGTTGAAAGAAGGTGATCTGCATTACGAGGAATAAATTTACTCACGTTCCCTTTGCTTTCTTGTGCAACGAACGTAAAGTCAATTTGTTCTAGTTTTTTTTTTTGGAGGTTAGCTTGGCATTATCGATTTAAAACTGACAATTTTGACGTGTTGCGTTCAACCATCTTAGTAGATGTCTGTAATGATGAAAGTCAATAGCTGTAAGAGAGATCATAAATTTGTCGAACTAGTTTCAGGAGAACTTGGTCCGACCAGTTACGTAATATGGACTGTTAAGACGAAACAATCGTGAATCTATTCAGCCAAGACACTGTTTTTTGCAATATGACATGAAAGAAAACCTGGTATTGTTCTGTTTTGTCTTGCCAACATTTAAATTAAAGTTAATGTCTAGGAAAGTGCTTGAAGAATGCATCTATTTTATTTATATCGCATCTTTTACGTTTAAGTAGCATTGTTTTGTATAGCTTTTACGTTTTTATAATATTTTCCACAGGGCCGTTCTGAAAACCACTTTATGTGAGATCGCCCTCTGTATAAATATTATTATTATGATGATCATTATCATTATCATTATTATTACTTTTATTATTATTATTATTATTATTATTATTATTATTATTATACAAGTATTTAACTTTGTTGTGTGTTTTTACTGACAATCAGTTTGTTAACTATTCGTGTATGACGTCATATAAACATAAAGGAAGAGAAAGTGGATTATTTCGACACCACGTCAGATTATTTGTCCCATGATGACTTTGATGGCGTTAAAGTAAATGAATGGAGCTAGAATGCAGACAATAAAGCCTGATGTCACACACATAACTTCTT